GGATAACAATAGTGGCCTCGGGCGAAGCCCGTGGCACTAATTAGAATACATAGTAAAATAAATGTAATGCAGTCAATGTAGGAGGATATGAGTCTAGATCATGAGTGTAGATTCCAGCTCTGAGTGCACTGACAGTCAAGTTTAAGTGAGGCGCCCCACCAGCTCTGTTGGACTCCAGGCTCCCACCCTGGAACAGCAGCCTGGGCTCAGTCACACTGCTTAGCTGCATGTTACCCCCCTCTGCTCACTCCTTCCCTGTCTCCCTCTTCAGCTAAATAAACACACAGAAAAAACAGTTTAAAAAATGTGTTTAGAAAAAATGTTTAATTATGGTCTGTCGTCAGGGGACTTGAGAGCTGACAATAAGGAAAAACAGCTGATTTGTCCTGCTGCTCATATGAGTAAAATGCTCACACTGTCATTCTGTGTTAAAAGAAGTTGAACTTTATTAGAGAACGTAATATCTGACTGCCTGCTGATAAATACAAATCAACAAAGCATCTCTCTTTTTTTTTCCCCGTTCATGGCTTCTGAAATAACGGAGAGTTGCATTTTGCAGAATTTTGCAAAATTGTTTAGCAACACCAAAAATGACAAAACATGGTAACTGCTAGGAAACACAGTGGAATATATTTAGCTGAAATGGTTTAAGAATCCTTTTAAACTATAAAATCTTATCTTTAGAATGTTAGCTAGTGGGCCATAAACAAAGTCCAGAAGAAGAAACTGTAGTAGTATAGTCCCTTATAATGTAAAATAAGCCATGTCTATGTTACAGAGTGTCCACCGTTCCTGTGGAATGTACCCGCTGGGAGCTGTGTGCAGAGCTGGGGGAGGCATGCCATGCTATGGAGATTACCAAATCAGGAAATGTTTATAATGTGAGTTTTTAATGTGCATCCATGAACAATAGACCCTGTTTTACTGCATGTATTAGGGGAAAAATCATGGAAGCTGTGATGCTAATCCATGTAGTATGTAGCCAGCTGTTTAAATCGAAACTCAACTACTAGAAGATAGAACAGCGACCAGTCAGCAGGAACGGATGTAACTTGAGTCCTTGTGACGTCGTACGGAACGTCTCTGTGTCTTGGTAAAGCTTGAGCCATCAGGTCATTCAAGAAAACAGTCTGTTGGTCTGTGCAGGTGGAGGTGGATGGAGGAAAGGTGGAAGTCAGTGGAGTGTTTAACCTAGCCTCCCCTCTGTTGCCACTCACCATCAACGGCTCACACAGGATGCTGCAGGTAGCACACATACAAACATTCATGTTGTAGGCATGATATATATTTTATATAGTGCAGTAAGGATATAGTAAGCAATGACAAAAATCCATCAAGTAATGTTGTAGCGTCTATGACATTTAAACTTTTGTTTCAGCGTCTGTCCAGAGAAGCTTCAGGAATGATTGTCCTGCAGTACCTGGGCTCTGTGGTAAGACTGCATGTTCACACTAAAGTCACATTAAAAAAAATCACATCTGTGACACAGATTGACATCTCTGGTGCTCATGCCATTGAAGCAAGCTGTAATGTAAAGCGTTGCGTTAGCTACCACACTCTCCCACACAAAGAAAGACATGGTGACAATTTTAGCTTAGCCAGTAGCATCAAAATAGATCAGTTGATTGCAGAAGTGCAGCAGGGTTATAAAGTGATGAAGAAAATGTTTGCATAGGGTATGTAAATTACCAGCACCTGTAGACTGGTGACAAATGATAGGAAACAACTCAAGGTCAAATTCTATGGTAAGGGATCTGGTGAGTCTGTTATGCTATAGAGGGCACTGTGCTGACATGGGTCCAGTTCTGAGTGACCACCTATGATAAAACATTTCTATCATGATGGGAGTGGTCTCCGCCACGATGACAGTGCTCCTTTCCACAGGACACAAGGTGCCACTGAATAGTTTGTTGAGTATGATATTGATGTGAAATATTTGAACGTTACCAAGACACTTAACTGTGTTGGTTTTTTCCATTAATTTGCCACCCTTCTGCACCATGACTGTTGTAACAACAATAATAATAATAATATGGCTTCTTATTTGTGCCTTGCAATAGTGAATGATAAAATGTCTTAACCCATCCATCAAGTGACTTAAAGTATTAATTTGTAAAATGCTTTAAGAGATCCAAGGTTGTAGTTTAATACAAGAACTTAAAAGTGCAATATACAAGTTTTTGAGCATTAATATTGCAAGAAGAAACTTTATACATCTGCTATGTAAGATACAACCGAGTAATGGCATTCCTAGCAGAGACTAAAGTCAATTCCTCTCTGTTGGGTCCCCGTGAGTTTAGGGGACGCAAGGAGTAACAACAGATGGTATTTAAAACCAAGTGAAAAAGGAGGAAATGGATAAAAGAACAGAACAAACTGTTTATTCACAATTAAAGTAAAAACAAGGAAAATCTAAAGCAAGCTTCTTCTAAAAAAGTGAAAAAGAGGATTTGCAGTTCTTGAAAAGGGACCTCACACACCTGGCTGAGGCAAGCAGGGAGAACACCTGTCCAGCTCTCCAGCTGCCACATGGCCTTCTGCAGCAGGATGGCCTGATTGGCATTTAAGGCTGACATTGACTGCAGAGTGACAACAGATGCACCTCAGGGTGCTTAACCTGAAAGAGGAAAACACACCCACAACCTACCTACACATGCACATATGCATGGCCATGTTAGTGGTCGTTAATGCGCATTAGTGCATGTGAATCCCTCCCTTTGAAACTGCTGGCCTCCTGTGTTTATAGGTAAACCAAGAGTGACCTCCCACAGCACACTGTAAGAGCAAAAGTTCAGTCTGAGCATTCAGCTGGTGCCCAAAAAACATTTATTATTCTTTTTTACCTAATTTCTGTGCACTTGGCTGAACTTAAGTAAACCCGCGTGTGAAAACGCACAGCAGAGCAACAAGGAGGCCGGTCAAGGGAAGATTATATTCACTAAAACTTTCATTCAGTGTATTTTGCAATGCAAGCATGAGCGAATGATTGTGACTGGATTTTCTTTTGTCGTGCAGGAATGCAACTTTTAAACAATTTTTCTTACCAATAGTTGGTCACATGAACAATCAATCAATCACTAAAATAAATTACACTTAGTTACATGTGAAATTTCCATCCATCCATCTTCTATACACCGCTTAATCCTCACTAGGGTCGTGGGGGAGCTGAAGCATATCCCAGCTGACTTAGGGCGAAGGCAGGGGACACCCTGGACAGGTTGCCAGTCTATCACAGGGCTACATGTAGAGATGGACAACCTACGGACAATTTAGAATCACCAGTTAACCTCAACATGTTTTATGACCTTGTGGGAGGAAGCTGGGGAACCTGGAGAGAACATAGAGACTCCACGCAGAAAGATTCCGGGTGTCCTCACCGGGACACGAACCGGCGATCTTCTAGTTGCGAGGCAACGGTGCTAACCACCAGGCCACCTTGCAGTCCCATATCTAGCATTTTACATCAAATTCTTATTTTTGCTGCATAGCCTATGCTATTTCTCATGGGGTATATGTATATCACCGTTCACCTAGCCACCTTGCAGCCCACATTAGGAATTTGAAAAACAAAAAGTAAACACCAGGTTGCTTAACTATAATTAGTATTAAACACAGCAACCGAGCCATAGTTTTCCACAGTAAACAACCTGTTACATTAATAATCCCTACACAGCATGAAAATAATCCTCATAGCCGATGATGAAGTGACTTGTTCACTAGTTGTCTTTAGTCCAGCTTAGCTAATACAGATGACCCCAAATAATGTCATAACAACTTTCTCAGTCCAGGAAATCTGTCAGTATTTACTGCCACCTCGAAAATGTATTTAAAGTCAGAGCTTTGCTGATACACTTCATCACCTTAGTTAGAATGTTTCTAAAGAAGGTAATCAGATTCCTGCTGTCGTTGAACAGTAGCAGCATTAGCAGCTATAGCTGCTCTGTGCTGACAGTTGCCAAGGTGTGTTAGCATTTAAAAATCCTAGTTTGCAGCAGGGAGGTGCACTCGTTTTATGAACCCTTACAAACTGTCAGCAAACACACCTGAAACTCCATCTCATCAAACAGTTACTACAGCAGATTCACAATACATATGCAGACATGCATGTCCCTCATCCTCTGCCTTATCGGTTGATCGATTATTGATTAATTACATTGACATCCTTAATCTTGTGTACACAACTTTTCTGGTTGTAAATAAAATGTGGGGGGAGGGACACACTGTTCGATATGTTGTGAGATGCTGGTGCTCTCGCAGCATCCACGCTCCAGCAGCACTGACTCCTCTGACAACACTAGAGGCAGTTTGAAAGGCTTTCACCCCAAGACCTGTCAAAAACACTGTAACAATGGTTGTCCTCCTATGGTCTATATTTTATGGGAAACAGTTTCCTCTCATTCCTTACATTGCAGCACAAACCATTTCCTCACCCCACCCTGTGTTCTTCATGCTTTTTTATTATAGTTTAAGGTTCGTGTTCTGTCCAAATTGGCTTCAGAGCTGAATTCCTACATGCCAGAAAAGGTTCCGGAAGACACCAGCAGCATCCTGCGTTCACCGATGCCCGGCACAGTTGTGGCTGTGTCCATCAAGCCTGGAGATACGGTAATGCTTCCCTGTATACATGATTTACAACATATGCAGTCGTTACTTGATAATTCGACCCTTAACAATCTGAAAACTTTGCTATCCGACAGGTTTTTAGCAGCCAAGTTCTGCCTGTGCTTTCTGGCCACAGCCACCCCATCTGAGCACACCTCCGGGGTGGAAGTGGCCGGAACAGGCACAAGCGCACCGGTCAATTAGGCATGAAATCCAGCGATGCGTAGTGTTCTAACAATACACTAGTTATTGTAACAACTATAAACAATAAATATTAACAACAAATTACCCCTAAGCATCAAGCCCTCCTTGTATCTCGACCTCCATCTTGACAATCCGACAGCCTCGCTATCCAACATAAAAGAAGGTTTTACATTTAGTGTTGGATTATCGAGTCATGACTGTATAAAGCAATTCTTACTTCATCTCCTAGGGCAGGGCTATTAAATTAAAAATTCACTCGGGCTGGATTTTTAGACGAAGGACATGAGCTGGGCCTGACATTTTTAGCAGACAGTGAGCAACGTTAACCATTTAAAAAAAAACACAAAAAGATAAGATAACAAACACACTGGATGTTTATTGATGTACTGCCACATCCAAAGGACATAAACACAGTAGAAGAGCAGTGCTTAAACTAAACCTGTGCTGAAATACTGCTTGTTTAATTTTTAAATTTCAAACACATAACTTCAACACATTTTGATAGGTAAATACAAGCACATGCATATGAACATACAAACAAAGTGCAGATTAGAAACAACATCTTTTGTTTTGGTCACATCTGAAAGTGCATAAAAAAAGTAACTTGCTTAACAGCAGCTTTTCAGAACTTGAGGTATTTTTCTTCTTTTGAAATAAGAAAAAACAGACTTTGTCCCATGTCCATATTTGGTCTCATCTGAGACAGTCACATCTTGAGTGCATATAATCAAAAAATAAACAGTGGGCACAGTGACACAGTTACTATCCCTCTGAAATGAAATAAAGCT